CCTGCCTTCCTTCCTGCTTTCCTTTTATTAAATGTCTGCTGGTATAAAGAAGGAGTATCTGGGAAGTAAGTCAGAGAGGTTGATGGGGACTTGGGTTGGACTGTTCCTTAGGTGCAGAATAAGGCAGTCCTGTCTGTAAGTAGAGGAAGAAGCCCAGGAAGAAAGAGGTGTGAAGATGTAGGAGACTCTGGGCTGAGAAACAGCACTTTCTTCTCTCATTCTGCTTCCCGTGGTGATGTCCAAACCAGCAGTATAAACATGGCCCTTCGCTGAAGCCAAGGAGGAATCTTAAATACACATGAGAGGACGGTACAGAGGAGTACTGGCCTCCAGGAGGATGTGGTCCTGGCAGAGTTTGGAGGGATGCCTGTGTGAATGCTGAGGCCCTTGGTGAAGAGCCAGGCTACTTAGGTCCATTCTTCTGGGAGAAGAGCTCTGTCCCTGGGTATCTGTCATCCTTAGGAACTACTCTGTGGGCTGGACTTTTCTCCCATTTCCGGTGAGACTGGAAGAGAATACCCCTCTGAGATGCGTCCCGTGGAGAACTTGGGATCCTAGAGACCTTATCCTCATACCTCAACCAAGAAGCTTCATCTTATCGACCCCCTTGCCGTGGCCTCTGGGGAAGGAACCATCACATTCCGCCCACCAAGCACGGCCTGGGAGACCCCATGGTCTAAGCTGCATAAACGTAGAAGACCAACACTGGGTCCGCAGACCACCAAAACAGACCTTTGAGTCTTTCAGCTTCTTCACAGTAGCTTGAAGTCGATTTACAAAAAGAAAGTTTGGGAATTACCATACAAGGTTTGAAACATGAGTGGGGGGACGGAGCAGGAGGGTAGGGTCTGCAAGAGGTACCGAGGCAGAAGTGTATCAGCATGGCTTTTACTTTCCCACAGTCAGCTTTGTTCTCATACTGTCAATTCACCACGATCAAAAATGGACATCTCCTCATAGTGAACATTCTCCTGAGTCCAGAAACACTTCCATTTGCAAGTTGAATCTGTCTTTATTCTCATGCTTTATGTGAGCTCAATACAAGATCTAAAGTGTGTGAAACTGAGAATGACCTATTCAAGTAGAAAACAAAAGCAAAGTCCCAAACAAAAATGAGTTTCCTCATCATCATAACAATAATACTGTCTGCCTCATAGAATCATTATGCGGTTCAACATATGCGTTTCTGCTTAAAATTAATTAGATTCCATAAATGGTCAATTCTTGTGCAGATTTTGATGCTGTCAAATAGTCATTTTTTCAATTCTTTATAGCACTCATTTCTAATGGGATAGAACTGAATTTTTCTTTCTTTTTAATATAAAATATTTTATACCTACAAGAGTATTATGGAACATATATGTAAAGCATAAAGAAAAAGAATGAAACGTACAACATGCATCCACCATGCATCTTAAGAAATCAAACATTGCCAGTACTTTTGAGACCCAGAGTTGGAAACATTTCATATCTTCATGAAAAAATACTTATTCTCCCACTGTTGAGTACGTTTTATAGTTGAGAATATTTAATGTCCTCAACAAGTCTGGTTTCCTGCACAGACATAGAGATGCAGGAACCTGTTAATTGTGCTGTTCCAGTCTCTGTCATCGTTTGTTTTTGACCTGTCTGGTCCATCACCTACACAGAGAGAGGCGTGTTGAAACAGCCTGCTGGGACGGTGGATTTCTCCGTCCGGGTGGTTTTACCCATTTTTGGCTTGATGTGTCGCTGTATGTTATCAGTGTAGACTTGTCACCTGCCACGTGAGATGAATACGTCTTTCACCGCAGGCTGCCCTCCTTATCTGAAGTAGCGCTTTCTGCCTGGCACGTTTTGTTTTGTTTCTGCTGTTGTTGCTGGTCCTGTTTTGTGTTGTTGTGTTGTTGTTACTCTTTCCCTGGGATGTATTTTTCCCATCCTTTTGTTCCCAGCATTCTCTGCTTTAATAGCTTGGGTATAGCTCTTCTGCTCCTCATTTAGTTTAGCTGAACTTTTGAAAGCTGACATGATGCTCTTCGTCTTTTAATCATGCTGTGGTCGTTACTCTTGCTGTGATTCCTGACCCATTGTACTGTTTTCACCATCACAGGCTCTATTCGTCCATGTTCGTTTGGTCCATGTTCATTTGTTTCATTTCTTATCTTCTTTGGATTGACTTTTTTCTCATTCTCTGGTTTTCCCTCTACTGGTTTGGATATTATACTCTCTATTTCCATTATTTTTGGTGGCCACCTAACTAAAATTTTATTTTCAGTCACGTGTATGAAACGTAAAACTGAAGTTCTTGGTCACAGAGCCTCAGCCCATGTCCCTGGGGCAGCTGTCGGCTTCAGAGCTATGTTTTCTCTGAATTACTGCTCTGATCTCATTTTTTTCCTTTGAGGCTCTGCGTACTTTCTTCTCAGGTCAAACACAAATTAAAAATTCGTCTTTTAAATACTTGATCCAGCATTTCTAGCATTTTGTGACAATCAGATTTTTCAGGATATTTTGTTTTCAGTATAAACTTGTTAGTAAATTTAGTTTTTGTTTTTTCCCAAGTGGACTAAGAAAAAGTATTATTGGCTACTACTAAGGAAATATATGTCTTTACCATGTGGCTGAACGGTACATTTCTAATGTTATTTACAGTTTGGTAGAAGAGAGGTGTCATGTACAGAAATAGTAATAATATATGGTAGAAATAAGATTAAGTCGTCTGTGAATGACCAAAGGAAATGCTATGAGACTGCAGTAGAGTAATGTTTCATCTCAGTGGCCAGTGCCCTGCACATGTATATTGTTCAAAGGTTTCCTGAAATAGATACCTTTTTGATTGGGTCCTATTGGATGGATAAAAGTTCTTTATGTTTGAATTTACAAAAAAAAAAAACAGAAAACCTTTGATTTTCAAACCATTATGCCTTAGTATTACTTATATACTAAGTCAGGAGTTGACAAACTGGTCCACGGGCTAAATCTGACTTACCATGATTTTTGTAAATAAAGTTTTATTGGAACACAGCCATGCTTACTATTCACACATTTTCTGTGTTACTATGCTCACGCTACAGCAGTAGAGTTGAGTAGTTGTGACAGAAACTGTATGGCCCACAGAGTCTAAAATACTTACAAATATTTACTTTCAGTACCCAAACTAAACCATGTGCTATATCGCAAGGTAAGTGTATAGGGAAACTGTTTCCTTAGCCTCATTTTCTCCTTTTCCTAAATATATTTGATTTGGTTGCTCTAACAATAAATATTTATTCATACACCACCCCCTCTCTGCTTAGTGCTTATTTCTGTCTCTTTGATCAGAGATATTTCCTCGCTCCTATTTCTTAATAATTATTTTCCTTAATAGAAGCTTTAAGAGATCCAGTGCTATTTTGTATGGTTACTTTTGAAATAATAGAAATCCACTGCTGTTGTCTACCAACTTGAGGCTAGATTAATGGTGTTTAAACTATAAAAAGTTCAGTGTATTGAATGACTCTTCAATAAATTGATCAGACACTCTTGCATTCATTAAATAAAATATCACAGTATCTTTCTATGAGCTGAAACTAGCCGGCCTTTAAATTGGAAGGGTTGCCAATTCTAAGCTACTTTATATGCTATTGCAACGCTTTGCTTTAATTATGGGAATTAAAGAGGAAAAGTGTCCATTGGCAAAGCGGGAAAGGGATTTCAGAATTTTTTAAAGTCATCACTAAATTGTGCTCAAAACCTGTTGATGTTAAAAGGAAAATATAATGAAATCCCAGCCTTCAAACACTACAGTGCTTGGACTTAATTCATGTGATTCTGTTTCCAGGGAGAACCAGTTCCCCACGGTTGTCTTAGATGTAGGGCATCAGGCTAACCACCTGAATTAACAGTAGCACGTGTTCTCTGATCCTGGGGATACTCACATCAGGGAAATCGGCCAGATACACAGATGCATTTGATCCCCCACTTCCCAGGAGTCTCTCTTTCGGTGTAAAAGTCGATGACTATTAGCTACACTGAGGACAATGCTCTCAGCTCTCATTTACAAAATTGAAGCATCCTTTCACTGGGGATTCACTGGATGTCACACTGTTTTGTACAGAACGGTGAACAGTTTCCATCTGTAGAAGCTTAAGGATTTACTGGGACTGGGACCGATGGGAAAGGAGGAAACTTCAAAGATACTAAGCATAAACGATCTTAGAGGAAATACTTTCCCTCAACGAATTTAGTTGTCTCACCTCCAGTGGATCAATAAAGAGTAGTAGCAACCCTCATGCATGTAACCTGGGAGAGGTCAAGGAAGACTGGGGTATGTAAAAGTCCCAATATTTGCAAGGTACGCTTTGAACTCTTAATGTGACTGGAACAAACTAAGTGAGCCCCAGTGTAAGGTATATAACCATATAAGCAGTACACTCTGAGTACTGTATGAAATGCTTGGTGCCAGTCTCCAGGAATGGGGGTGAAGGAAGATACTTGGTGGAGGACAGATTTCCCAGCGATGTAATTTAAAACAATCTTTTCCGAAGTATGTATCATGCTGAAACAGTGGGCCATGGAATCGAGTTACTGTGACAAACTTTTGAAAAATAGGATTCAGTATTAAACCTCCAATAGAAGATAGAAAATATCAGAACACGTTATATAGTTGTGTCACGTATAACTTCTGCTTCAGTTACATATCCACGTGATTATAATTGTAAAGTGTTAAGTCTGTCAAGATACTCTGAAAGCCAGGTGTCAAAAGAAGCAGAGGCATGGAGTGGGTACATGAATTCCACTGTGTGGGAAAAACCAGGGTGCTACAGCATCCAGCTACGTGTGGTTCGGTGCTAGTCAGCAGTACTGAAATTAACTGAAGACATGCTAATACCTGTCTCACCTCTGGAGGTGAGATTAGTGGGGAAATGGCTTCGCACGTGTTGCCTTAGTTCAAAGAGCTATACTTTGCTAGGAAAAACTGTTTTCCCTTTGGTCATCCATCACTTACTCAGTTTGCTACCACCTTCTCTTTTGTCCAGGAGACTGCATCAACAATTTGAAAGCTACAAGGAGCAAGTGAGGAAAATCGGGGAAGAGGCGAGGCGTTACCAGGGCGAGCACAAAGACGATGCTCCGACGTGTGGAATCTGTCACAAGACCAAGTTTGCGGACGGGTGTGGGCACCTGTGCTCCTACTGCCGCACCAAGTTCTGCGCGCGCTGCGGGGGCCGCGTGTCGCTGCGCTCCAACAACGTGAGTGTCCCCGGCGCATGCGCATCCCCGCAGACGGCGCGTGCGCGGTGGGAAGCAGCCGGGCATCCGCGCACACGTGGCCGTGCCCTCCCTCGTGTTGACCCTTTGTTTTTCGTAAGGCTCAGAGTAGTGGATTAGGGAAATGGTAAACAAAAGACACTTTCTGTATGTGTGTATCTTAATGAATGATTACTATCCCAAACCAACAGACTACCTGAGGAGTAAATTTATTTTCTGAACAAATGTAGTCAATGTAGATTTAGTATCATGAATTATGAAACTCTTGAAAGTTGCTAAGACCAGTTCTCCTTGTACAAAAAAACAAAACAAAACAAAACAAAGAAAATCCTTTAGTTTCTGCAACGTATGTTTGGTTTGAAGGAAGGTAAAATCAAGGTGTACTGCATGGCATTAAATTTAACCCAATATAATAATGTGCAGAGCAGTAATTAGCCTCTCTTGAGAGTGATTTCATATTTATTATCATGTTAATAGAATATAATACTGAGCTGATCTCACAGAAATTAGTTGGATATTTATAGTATGTCAAAATACACTTTTTTTTAATTGGTAGGGGAGAGAATTGAACTTCTCTATGAGATGTAGACTCGCCCATTGCAGTTTCTTTAGTTGGCTTAAATATTAGCTTCTCTTCTATTATGACAGTGATTTGAATATATGCAGTTTTTGAGGCACTAAAATGCTAATATAAAGGACTCAGTATTATTATTTATAAGTACTAGAGTAATTTTAATAAATATTTAGTTTAGAATACATCTTAGTGCTGTACTTTATTATATCCCCTATGTTAGTACAGTGGAATTATTTATAGGGATGTCTGGGTGAGTTTTCTTTTATGTAGGTCTATAGTGTAATACAGAACAGTTAAGATGATCACATACCTAAAGAACTCCCAGTGTTTCTTTAAAGAATTTCTCATATTATCTACTCATGTATAGAATTTAACTTAAAGTTGTATTTCAAAGGAAGAGTGCTTTAAGTGCCCTTGATATCTTTCTAATTGGGAAAAATCATAGTTGAAATTAAAATGAACCTTCCAATCAACATTATATTCTTTGGCTGTGTATTTGAATTGTAAGTTGGGTATTATTCTAAAACCTCTCCCAAGGAAACTGACATTTAGTAAGTTAGACACATTATTATACTTAAGGATACATTATTATTCGATTATCTTTGAAGCCTTAACTTTTCTGAATAACAGCTTCTTTATCGATGAAACTGAATAGTAATAACTATTGCATATGGTTGGTATAAGAATTAAATTTAAATGATTCAAATTATGCATATTTAGTTTTTCTTTAGGTCCCATTCTTATGGCTGCAAAAGTTTTCAGTTTTTCTCCTAAAAGTTATTTGTTTTAGTTAATCCTCATAATGCTACCTTAAAGGCCTTCTAGAAGCACCTTAGATTAAGAGCATCTGGCACATAAAGGTGCACAAGACCGATTTGTTCTTTTTCTCTTCTTTAGTTCTTGAATGCACTGTTTTGGAATGAATCCTCACAAATGAGACCTGGGATGATATTCAAAATAGTTAACAACTCATATGATAAGGGTTCTGTCTAATCTGAAAAGGTGCTGACCCTGAAAGGTAGGGGCTCATGGGCTGAGTGTTAATGCTGGCTGAGTCCCGCAGCTGTTGAATGCTTTAATTTCACGTTATAGGTTTGAGGCAAGCCAATAACATAGAGTCAAACTCACATTTTAAACAGGAAAAGTACTTAGAGGAACTTGAACTAGGAGGTACCAATGCCTTTGAGCAGACACTCAAGCCTAATGGAGTTCATCCATCTTTACTAACCCTATCCAACCTTGGGGAAAAAATTCATAAAGCAAAGTAAAGAAAGCACAACTTAAAATATTTAATCTTGGGCCTAAAAGGGAAAAGTATATTAATTTGGTTTTTCCTGTGATGTTGTAAATGTTGAAATGTATATTACAAATCAATATTTCTGATGGGATAATTTATGGCTAAAATAGTTAACATATTTCTTTTCTCATTTTTATTTATTCCAAATATTTTCCATTCTTAGATTTTTCCAATTTGTAACTATAAATATGTGAACAGTAATTTGATAATTATTCATTCAAATTTTATGCATTTTAAAATGTCTTTTCAATAATAGGTAGGCTAAATATGGTAGTAAATTAAGTTTTCTTTCTGAAGAATGTTTTATGAAGAATGTAGATTTAATAATCCAAGTTCTAGATAACTCTGAAATTATAGTGCCCAACTTTTGTATCCAACATATAACAGGAGCCAGATCTGTGCATTTTCAATGAAAGATTGAACAATGACTATTTTTTTGGTAAGAATAAACATTTACTTTTCAAAATATCTGTGTTTTAACACTTTAAAGTAACACATAATTGTTTTTTGTAAGATCTGTTTATTAATATATGCCTTCTTTTTGTTTTTCTCTTCTTCTTTCCCCTCTCTCTTTACCCTGCTTCCTTGGATGCTTCCCCAAAGGAGGACAAAGTGGTTAGAATCCATGATTTCTTTTCTATCATTTGTTGTTACAATGTTGTGACCTTGTGTTGCTAAGTACTGTATTTCACAAAGAAATTACAATGCTAGGAAGAGCACCTTCCCAGTTCTCATGGGAAAAAAATAAACATCCAGGAGCACTACCGTTTGAGCTCATGGGAATAGTGATATTTTAATATAATTTAAATCATGAAACTCATTTGTCCTCTGGGTTTTCTGAGTTTTGAGACTGCTCCACCTGCCTTCCAGAACAACCAAGTCTAGAGAGCTTTACCTTTCTCAGCACTCAGTAGATGCATAGGCAGGTAATTTGAAACTTTGTGACAGAAGGAATGGAATGGATGGATTTAGTGGAGAGAATGGATCAAATTAAAATCAAGACCTCAAAATAAAATGACCTTTCAGTAGAACACAAGTAGCAGAGTTGTCATATTGAACCACAGTTTTGCTCTTTTCTTCTCCTTCAGGCATTGAAATCACTCCCTCAGGGAGTGAAAGTTCACCTTTAACTCTGATCAGCTATGCAAACCACAGAGGCTGTACTCAGTAAGATAGGGTATGTGTGGAAGCTTCAGCCAGCCTGTCCTTTGTGTACATACTATACACTTTCATTTGGTGTAAGTTACAATTTCCCCAAAGTTCACTGATTTCCCAATATGAGACTGAGGCAAAGAGTATTTTGGGTTCAATATGTCAGCTCAGCTGCCTTTGTTCCACTGGTTTAAAGTTTAGATTACGTACTATGGTGCATAGGTAGCAAGCATGAAGTTAAATTGAACATTAATTTGTGCCCTTAAACTTGATGCTAGCATATGTTCATCAGTTTTTTCTATGAAAAAGAAATCAGGTTGAAAATGATATAAGGTAGTTTATTCTCACTAAATGTGTTTGCTTGTGCACTGGTGGTTTGTGAGATCATGTTAGGGGCTATTATTTTAATACAATACAGGTTTCCCTGGCTATCTGACAGTAGAGCATTCCTATGCAATCTTTCATAAACCTAAATGGCGTAAAGGGAGGAAACAGTTACTTCAGGACACATCTTGCTCATAGATGCACAAAATCAATCATGATAAAGCACAGATGCTCAAAGACACTGTTCAGAGCTCTGGTGGCTGGATGCTGAGATGCTGAGTGTGGTTCCTGGGGAAGGAGCGTGGTGGGGCTGCTCTCTCTGCTCTGGGTACTGCTGCCTGTAGTACCGCTCAGGGCAGGACAAATACTAACTACTGTTTTCACATCTCACCTTTCTCTGTAAAAGTGAAAATCCTCTTTGTACTTCTTTTGTTTAGTGAAAACAGGTATGACAGTATGATTTTCGTAAAAGCAAAGTGGAGTAACGTGAACTTTCAAAAAGCAGGGGATGCCGGTAATGTATCGTATTAGGAAAAATATAATTGGAATGTCACACTTTGGTACATGAATATTATTTAGATGAGTCTGCATTTGAAATGTATATAATTTTACATTCTTCTAAAGAATTAAAGTTTGAGTACATAAGTAATGCTGATGTTACACAGACTTGCTGGTAAGACTTCAGCTACTCCTCTGAGACTGGCCAGGTTGATTGTTCTCGGACAGCACTTCTGTGGTGGTAGGTTCTTTGTGCTTATTATGATGGACTGACTTTGGAGTAAGAATTCAGGTGGATTTTTGTGTTTCTCAGGCTGAACATAGAATGAAGAGACCTGTGAAATACAATCACTTTCAGTTATTGTCTTCACTTTGATTAAGATGCATATATCTACCATTTATTTTTAAGTACTTTGTCATAATTTCATTAAAGATCTTTTTAGCCTATTGAAGTTGTTAATGAATTGCCTTCCTAGTCCAAGGAAACTGAAGTCAGCGTTTGTCTTAGTTGTGTTAATGAGAATAACTGAGTATTGAGCAAAGTGCTTGATTGCTGTTTCTTTCCCTTTTCCTCTGAGATCTTTTATCTTTCATGGAGAAATTATAATTTACAGATGTGTGTGTGTTGGTGTGAGAGGAAAGCAAAGTGTAAAAAGCATGAATAAAATTTGTCTAAAAGCAATCTCCAGCTTGAGCAATATCATAGTAGTGAATTCTACTTAGTTTGTTAAATTGGTGAATAATGTGACTAACATACTAGTGTATATGTTATGAAGACCTAAGAATAGCTAATATATAAATATTTCTTTATGGAGTCTATCAAAAAATGTTAATGATTGTATTTTTTGCAGCCTAGCTGTATTTTATTTTAAAACTTTACTCTTAGCCTAAATCACCTCTAATAATTTGGAAGATTGTGTACTTCCTTATAAAGAAAATGGTTTGTCATAAAGAATCACTTTGCAATTGACACATGTAATAGCTTATATAAGAGGTTATTTTATACAACTGCATGGTTTCAGAGATAAAATTATGATTGTTTACTTCATTGAAATTCCTCTACACTGCCTAAGTATATAGGAATACTGCAGATTTCCCCATAGTCTGTTTAAATTGTTTGTGTCTTTGTTTTTATCATCCATTGGGTGACAGAGTATTGAACTTAGATACTTTCTTTGATAACATTAGCACTTTGCTCTTATGCAATCAACTGAATTGAATCCTCCAAACTCAATCCCTTTGGGATTTCCCATAAATTCTCATCACTATTTCTTTTTTGGTGGGGTGATTGGTTCATGAATAGAGCAACTAAAAACTGAACTTGCTACATTTCTAGTTAGTCTTGATTTTCACACAAAAATTGCCAGGTGTTATAAATGAAGAGTATCTTATAGTAAATGTCAGCAAGATTCTGAAAAACAGAAGGCTACTATTTTCTTTTTTTTTTAATGTGAAAACTGCACATATCTATCAAGTTTTTTTTTTATTTTGTGGGGTAGGTAATTAGGCTTATGTATTTTTTTCAAATGGAGGTACTGGGGATTGAACCCAGGTCCTCATTTATGCAAAGCTTGTGTTCTGCCGCTGAACTACACCCTCTCCCTGCACATATCTACCTTTCAAACATTTTATATCAAGATAATAATTAGTAAGTTACAGTGTTTACAAAGTCATTTTTAAACTGGCTCCTCATACCTTTTCACTGATGTTTGTTTGTAAAAATCATGCTAAATGACATTTTGATAAATGATATGCTGATAAAGTATGTTTTTATAGAAAAAACTCATTAAATGGAAATGTTGGCTGAAATGGGACAGTACAAACTGAGTTTGGAACTGGCCTCACCATAAAACATCATCTATGGGATGACTGGTTCTTAGCAACATAATGAACTTTGCTCTCACAGACTGTCCTTAAATAGCAAAATGAATTCATTTTGTTTATTCTCTCACTAGGGTTAGATGAAGACAAGCAATTCAGTGGAATCATATCCATTTGTAACAATGATTTGCATGATTGCATTAAATATTTATTCTCATTATGAGAAAATCTCTCAGAATTATCCCTACTTAGTCCATGACATGATGTCATCTGATCATACTTTTCAACCTTCAATCTTTTGAAAAAATGACAATCAGAGTTTCCCTGGGCCCACTTCTGTCTTTTCTTCTCTTTTTTCTTTATGATGGATTTCTTTGTAAGAATGTTCTCTTAGAGATTCTATCTAGAAAGTCAATATAGCTCTAAATAGAAAAGTCTATAAATATAAACATATCAAAAAGGAAATGTTAGGGTGCAGAGAAGAGAACTTTCACTAAGCAATGTAATTGATTAGAGTTCTCAAGGTGTCTCTTATTTTTTTGTGTTTGTCCCAGAGAGGAATAAAACACCAAGTGGTAAAAATTTTTGTTAGATAAGTCAGAAAGCCATACATTTTTTATTGCAAATCTATTTTAGAAATTTGCTACACTGCTTTTCAGGGCCATGGAATTTTAATCTCTTGAATTTAGCTTTATGATTCTGGAAATGTTTGCTAGTATTCAATAATTATTAGGAAATTTATAGTCCTGGTTTTGCCCCGACTCCCCAGATCATTGTTTAAAACCTTTATAAAATCTGTTTCTGGAAATTACCATTTTACAAACCAATGTTCAGTACAGATACGTATTGGGACTATGGGAGTTGCACCAGGGTATAGAGAAAAACCCTTCCAGTTTAAGGACAGGAGCTGTGACCTTGCTTTTTCCAAGCTAAAGACTAACTTATGGCAAACTACCTGGTTTGTTTTTTGTCTTTGTTCTGTGAACGTAAATTGTCAAATCTCTTGTTCACTTACCCAGGAGTGGAATTTCTGGGTCACATGACAGCCCTATGTGTAACATTTCAGACACTTGACAAACCAATTTCCACAAGTAGTTACGTAGCAATTTTTAGGGTTCTAATTTCTCCACGTTCTCCTCAACACTTGTTTTTGTCTGTTTGTGTTTTTACTATAGCCATCGTGTTGCATGTGAAGTGATGTGGTATCTCGTTGTGCTTTTCACAAAGCTGCTTTTAGGTCAAAATTATCAAACTGGTTTTATATCTACAAGGATTCATTTTCTGTGGATTTAGACTCTTATATAAAAATGTTTCTAAGTTAGCAATTTCTTGAGAATGAATACTTCTCAAATGGCTAGCATATTTGAATTGTTAGGAATTTGGTTTTTTCCCTCTCTGGTGATTCATTATGTCCTTTACATTAGATTTATGTAAATACTTAGTAATCTATATAAATCAGTCAGAACAGGAGCTCTGCTGTGTTTTAGATAACTTGGAATCTAGTCTCTGTCTACTAGACTAGCTATCCCTAGGGTGCACACAATTTAAGAGACTTTCATTGCCAATTGAAAAGACTGTTTTTTAATAGTCAGCTTTTACCACTCAGCCATAGGTCCAAAATTAACACAGAAACTTAAGCCCAGACTTTAAAAAAACATTCTTTTTTCAGCATGCACAAGATGTTTTCTTGAGTGATGTGAACTTTTAGCAGTACACAAACAGACATGTGTAAAGACTAAGTAACAGCCAGATTTCCTGTCATCTGCCATCCAGCTTTCTATATATCCCTGCTGTCTGCTGGCCAACAGATCTGATTAGTA